CCTATTTATCTACTTGTAGTTTCTTGCTTTCGAACTGCTAGGTTGGCAGGAGCTGGAACTAGAGATGGGAGCTCACTCCATCATGCGGCACCCGGGTCTCGAACTGAGCCACCGCAGCTCCTGACAGGATTTGTTACAGATTTGTTACAGGAAGTCAAAAGCCGATTCAGTGAGCTATTAGTACTCAAGCTAACTTACACTAACTTTGTGAGGCAAGGCCTATTTATTTATTTATCTTTAGATTTGTATCCCGCCCTACCCCGAGGGTTCAGGGCGGCTATAAGAGTTACATACATTATACATAACATACGAGATTGACATTATATTTTATGACGTTCTGGCCATCAGAAGATAGAACCAGGAAAAATCTTACAGGAGCTATTAAGGTCGGGCTTTGTGGTTGGTCTTTGACTCTCAAATACTGTCATTTTTTGACAAAGGTGAATAAGGAAAGGGAACACCACCCTTCCATGAATGAGCGGGGGGATCCGCATCTATGAAATGATGGTCTTGGCAAAGGCGCATGAAGAAAGACTTGCTTAGATCACTGTGAACAGGCAGTGTTAAGTTTAGCAAAATAGTTTGTAAGTGGTTTTGTAAGTGCTGTTATTTTCTGGTTCTTTTGTGAGTATTGTGTGTGTGTGTATGCCTGTAAGTCATTCTTATCATTCGTTGCCCTTTTCTGCACTTTTTCCAAAGCTATAATATCCTTTTTAAGGTGTGGTGACCAGAACTGCACACAGTATTCCAAATGAGGTCGCACACCATTGATTTATACAGGGGCATTGTGATATTGGCTGATCTGTTTTCAGTACCCTTCCTAATAATCCCCAGCATAGCATTGGCCTTCTTTTATTGCAGTCACACACTGTCTCGACATTTTCAGTGAGTTCAGGTCGGGTGAGAGTGTGAGATTGCCAAGGCACCAGGAGGAGAGTGAGCTGGCAGTGGAGCAAGAGGAGTAAAGCCACCCCATACCCCACTGTAGCCACTGTTGTTTTCGTGGACAGCGGCCATGGTGGTAGTGGTGTTCTCTGCCGCCATCTTGCTCTGTTTCCAAGAGATGCCTGAGAGCTGGATTGATGACACAGGGCCGGCAGAGAAGGGGGTGAGGGTGTTGGAGAGGATGGGCTTGTTACTTCCATCCCTGGCAGGAGACCCGCACATTAGGGAGGTTTTAAGCTGACCCCATCCTCTTGTCCTTTCATTATTTCAAAATGGAACCGCCAACCAGCTGCAAGGCCTACCCACTTTCCTGGAACATGCTAATTGGGGAACAGTGATCAGAAAAGCCACATGTAATACAAGAAAGCCTGGGGAAAAATTTAGCGTTAAAACCCGAAATATACCTGTTAAATATGATACCGATAGAATATAATAAACAAGATGCGTATGTATTAAGCTACATTATAACAGCAGCTAGACTGCTAATAGCTCAAAAATGGAAAGCTGAAGTTATACCTACAAGGGACGAATTAGTACATAAATTACTGGAACTAGCTAGAATGGATAATTTAAGTCTAATGATACAAAATGAAAATGAAAAGGTACATGAAAAGAGATGGGAAAAAGTCTATATGTGGATAGAAAAACTGACAGAAAATTAATAACCCCAACTTGTAAAGAAAAAACAAGAGATGAATGACTCTGATTTATATGTAACTTGAACAGATGAAATGTTTGTGTATATAAACTTTAACAAAATAAAAATTGTAAAAAACAAGAAAAGCCACATGTGGCTCCCGAGCCACTGAGTATCCCTAGTCTGAATTGGTCTACAGCGACTTTATTATTTTATTTACTAAAACACATTCCACATTTCCTCAAGGCTGAAGGTGGCTTACAGTAATAGTTTAAAACGTTAGAACAAAGTTGGAGTCCAGTGGCACCTTTAAGACCAGCAAAGTGTAATTCTGGGTTTAAGCTTTTGTGTGCATGCGCAAGGGTGCATACACACAAAAGCCAGAATGAAACTTTGCTGACTTTAAAGATGCCGCTGGACTCCCAACTTTGTTCTGTTGCTTCAGACCAGCATGGCTACCCACCTGAATCTAAAAACATTGTCTGTTAAAACTAATGCTCCCTCTAAGCTGGGGAGTCCTGTGAGCAAAAATCCTACTTTGTGAGCTCCTGGCATTAAAGTTGTGAGCGAGCAAATTGGCTACTGCTTAAATTAGTTTGCTCTGGAGCCCTCCTTCCTGAGCTAAGACAAAAATGTGTGAGCCGGAAGCTAAAAAACTGTGAGCTAGCTCACACTAACCCGGCTTAGAGGGAACACTGGTTAAAACAACCCCAGATCCTCCCCTTTAAAAGATGCCTGCCATTCAAACCTCCTCAAAAGCCCTGGCCACCACCTAGCAGGGCCTCCTGAAGTTCTCCAAGGAGGGCTCCCCCTGCCTCTCCAGGTAGCTCATTCCACAGAGCCGGAGCCTAGGGTTGCCAAGTCGAATATCCTTACCGGCGGGGGAGCGTCGCCGGGCTCCAGGAGCTCTCCTCCGATGCGCGCACACCGCCAGCACATCCCGGAAGTGACGCGCGACGTCGATCACGTTGGGGGCATGGCCCTGATCGTCGGAGAGAAAACCATAGAGTTTTCCCTCCGACGATTGGGGCCACGCCCCCAACGTGATCGACGTGGTTGCATCACCTCTGGTGCTTCAGGGGGCGGAGTTTCCCCCGGGGCCCGATTCCGCGGCGGCGGAAATCGGGCCTCCAAAGCGGGGGTTTACCTGCCCCCCACCCCCACTTGGCAGCCCTACCGGAGCCACCATGGAGAAGATGGCTGCCTGATGACCATAGTTAGTCCACAGGGCTTTAGGGAGGGAGTCAGTCCTTCAAATGGGTGGGTCCCAGTTTCATGTGAACAGCCGTGGTTTAGCAGCACAGCATCTGCCTGGTACGCAGTAGGCCCCATGTTCAGTCCCTGGCATTCCCAGTCAGAAGGATCAGGGAGTAGGTGATGTGAAAGCCCTCTGAGACCCTGGAGTGTCAAGAACTTTGGTTCATTTGAAATGGAGTTCTGTTTTAAACACTGGTTCAATCTGGCCTGCCTTCGTTGGAATTGCTTGTGTCTGTCTCTTCAGAGTTTCACAGACCTTGGCTGGACAAATGACCTTGCACCTGCAAGATAAGGTATTGTTTTTTCCCCCCTCGGCTCTGCAATTAACATTCCGTTCAATTAACGGTCTGTGAGAGATGGGAGTGGAGTGAAACTGCAGATCACGCCACTGCCCTCCTGACATGAGCAGAGGAACAATGAAGTCATCCTGCTACTGATTGGCCTACCTGTAACTATAGGACATTGCCTGACCCCTGATTGGTGTATAGGCCTAACAGCAATGTGGGATTCAGACCATAAATTATCTATCTTGAAGCCTATTCTGGGGGCTTGATGGTGCTTGCATGTTATGCAGACATGTTGGCATTATTCTGCTCTCTTTGGACATCTTAAGACTGTTGCTGGAGCCAATCAGCCTGGTTTTTGGGACTCTGGAGAGGAGTTGCTTTTGGACCCAGAACTCTGAATGGGTAACGTCTTGTCTATTGGAAACCGGTGTTCTAAAGTGTTTAGCTCATTTGATGTAGTGGTTAGGAGCACGGACTCTAATCTGGGAGAACCAGGTTTGATTCCCCACTCTTCCACATGCAGCTGCTGGTGTGACCTTGGGTCAGTCACAAGTTTTTTCAGAGCCATTTTCTCACAAGCGGTTCTTGAGAGAATTCTCTCAGCCCCACCTACCTCACAGGGTGTCTGTTGTGGGGAGGGTGTTATGCCAACTTCTCCAGGAAATTCCTGGAGACCCAATCCAAGTTATCTACCAAGGAAAATTGGGTGTTTGTGGCTGTGCGTAAGTTCTATACCAGTCTATACAGAGGTCGGATGGCGAATGAGACGCTCGGCTATATCCCAGGAAGTGAGACAACACGCTAGTCCTTAAATAAATGTTGTCTTTACTAAAGGTTTTTCATCAGGCATACAAAATCGGAATCATACAAATTCATACAAGCTCCTTAGTTACAATAGTACATTAGAACAATTACAGCATAGAAAATAACAAAAGCATCAAAATGGGGAAGACACAATGGGGCACGGCTATACTCATCTGAGGTCCAGCTGAGGAAGAACTCTCCTCCTTGGAACGCTGGGCAGCCGAAATGCAGCAGCTTGTGAACTCCAAGGCACACAGGTAGGACCAGCCAAACCACGTGTGAGCTCTCTGGGTCGCGACTCCGGAGAACTTAAGTAGTAGAGTCACTTGTAGCACCTTAGTGCACTGCTATGGGGAGGGTGGGTTAACCAGAGAGACAAAGGAGAGTTTCTCCTTAAATAAACTCTTTTTGGGGCATGTGCTATCCAGCCATAAACTATCAAACCCGTCCTCTAAACTATCACTACTGGATGAAGAGGGGGTGACGAGGGGATGACGAAGGGGATGACGCTCTCCTAAGGGGTGGTGGCAATATGCAGATCCTACTCCTACATCAAAGGTGCCTTTTGGCAAGGTGTGAATCTTCCGTTCCCATGGACACCTCTTGATTTGCAGATCTGGTTCCTGCTCCAAAGCCATAAACGCTATTGTCTTTAGATCTCCAAACCAGATTAAGGGAGTAGGGTCACTTGCTCTTTCCATTCCAAGAATGCCGGGGTTCGCTGGGGATTTTCCATAGCTCTCCAAGTGGGTGCAATGGCGCGGTGTCTTCTCCATCCCAAAGAGTCATGGGATACATTCCAGGGACGCACATGGTCCGTATGTGCAACGGCAGGCCCAGGCCAGCCTATTTCTAGGCAAGCATGAGATGCAGAACAAAGCAACACACAACATACAGCAATCCCTGAATACATAATGCATAGGTATTCATGCTAGAGACACACATAAGCAGCATCACCACTATACAGAAATACAAACATAAGCTCATATCGTTACAGTCCCCCCTTTCGCGGCGGCAGAACTAAAAGTTCGGCCTGCCACGACAACAAAACATTGAGTCCACGTGGCGGGTGCCACTCCAAGGCGCTGGCATGGAAGTGAAACGTCATCATGCCAGGCAGGTGCAAAAGAATGTCCAAGTCCATGCGTTGGTGACCCCTATGTGATCTGGTTTGGTGTGGTCATGAACAGAGTCCGGGCCCATGACAGGCAACGTCAGCAGAAAGAGCAGGCAGGCAGGCAGACACGTCTTCGGTGTCGGGGTGTCGCCATCCAGACAGAGGCATCCGTGCTTCCTGTCTAAATCTAGCTAACGTTGGAGGACGGGTTTCTTTCCTTTGAAAAGGGAAAAATACCAAGACCTGTCCTATACTTACCAAAAATGCCAAATCAAAATAGGGGGGGGGCAGCAATGACGTCAGACAAGTAAGAGGACTTGGTATATGGCAGATTCCTGCATTCAGGACTCTTCCTGTGTTTTCTCTGTTTGTGTGAAGAGATTTAACATGACCTTCCCTCTTCTTTTCCTTCTTTCCTCAGGGAGTGTTAGAGGAGCATCTGACTGACCTTAAAAAAGAGAGCACGCACGAGGGAGGAGCTGAGGAGCTGACGGTCAGCAAGGAGGTACCACTGAAAGAGGAGAAGGAGACCATGACTGGAGGGGTGTTCCCGGTAAAAGAGGAAAAGGAGTGCCTGACCAGTGATGAGTTGGTGGTATGCATTTCAGTAGCCTGCCTTAGAAGAAGAAGAAGTTGGGTTTTTTATACCTCCCTTTTCTCTATTCTAAGGAGTCTTAAAAGCGGCTTACCTTTCCCTTCCTCTTCCCACAACAGGCACCGTGTGAGGTAGGTGGGGCTGAGAGCGTTCTGAGAGAACTGCCCTTGAGAGGACAGCTCTGAGAGAACTTATGACTGACCCAAGGTCACAGCAGCAGCTGCCTGTGGAGGAGTGGGGAATCAAACCCGGTTCTTCCGATTAGAGTCCTCTGCTCTTAACCACTGCACCATGCTGGTCCAGTGCACTGCATTCATTGATAAAAGAATTTGAACTCAGTCCCCTGCCCTGGCTCACCACCACATTTCTCCCTTGAGTTCATATAAGGATGATCTAAAAAATGGGGGGACTCTGCATGTTGGCTTCATTGCTAATGGGATGGTCAGGTGCATGAACAGGGTGGTTCGAAGCATCTAGTGAAGGACGTTGAGTTTATACTGATGCGGTGCAAGGTTGGGAGGGGATGCGCGTAGAACCTGCATGCGTGCACTCCAGGTTTTAATCTCGTTTCGCTTCCTGACTTGTTTAAACATCTAGACCAGGGGTCCCCAATGTGGTGCCCGTGGGCGCCATGATGCCTGCTGGCACCTTTCCTGACACCCACTAAGTGTTCTTAGAAAGTGGGTGGGGCTAGATGGGGCTTCTGTCCCACGGGGCTTCCTTCTGACTGGCCGGTGGAGATCTGATTGGCTGTGCAGGTCTTTGAAAACATTGCTTTGGCTGCAGCTGCCACTGCAGCCCAAGGATCTTCGCTGCATGAGTGAAGGATGTGCTGTGTGTCTGCAAGACCATACTATAAAACAATATGTTCATTTAAAAAGGCATCCTGTTAAAGCAGAGCTTCTGCCTGAAACGTTGAAGAGTCGCTGTTAGAGTTATGCACAGCCTCGTTCCCTGACTTTTGAGATTGGCTCTGCCTCCTATGGCAGCCATCTTGTGCTTGGCTCCGCCTCCTGCAGTAGACATTTTATGGCTCCGCCTACCACCTGGCGTCAGAATTCCAAAGGTGCTCGCAAGCTCTAAACCAGGGGTGTCAAACATAAGGCCCGGGGGCCGGAAGTGGCCCGTCCAGGGCTTTTATGCGGCCCGCGAGCAGCTAGTGCAAGGGAGGGAACAGGAGACTGCTCGGGGAGAGTGGGCAGAGTCACTCTGATTGTGGCTTCAGCATGGCGCGGAACAGTCTCACCTGCAACAGTCAGGCAGCATGGGAGCATCTGGCCAGTGCTGCACCACTGGCTCTCCAGTCCGCCCATGTGGGTTTTCCTCCACCCCCCTCCCAGCCCATGGGGACTTGCAGTGAGAATACAACTCGGAGCTTACCAGCTGCTGTCGTTTATACAGTTTATATCTCCGGTACCTGGCATTACGTTTATGGCACACATGTCCCAGCCCAACAAAGTAACATTTATGTCAGATCCGGCCCTCGTAACAAATGAGTTCGACACCTTTGCTCTAAACAGTTGGGGACCCCTGATCTAGACCGCCCGATCAGGGAATGCACAGGCCCAGCCCCTGCATGCAGAAGAACAAGATAGTCACGTTGTGGAATGTAAGGCTTCAGACCTGAAGTGGTAGATACTGGTTTTGAATGCCCCTGTGTGTATATGAACTCCCTGCAAGTAGAGAAGTAGCCTAGGAGTGAGTAGGTTGGGGTAGAACTCGTATCACCAACATGCTAGCTTTTTACATCCAGGTGTTTTTTTAATGTATGTATTGTTAAGGTAGAACTATGTTCCGATATATTAAATTAGCACTCAGGATGGACACTGTGGTGTAATGTAGTGGTTAGAGTGTTGGGCTAGTTTCCGGGAGACCCAGGTTCAAAACCCCACTTGTTCCGTGAAAGCTTGTTGGGTTACCTAGGGCTAGTCATATACTCTTAACGTATGTATTGTTAAGGTAGAACTATGTTCAGATATATTAAAGTAGCACTCAGGATGAACACTGTGGTGTAATGTAGTGGGCTAGTTTCCGGGAGACCCAGGTTCAAAACCCCGCTTGTTCCATGAAAGCTTGCTGGGTTACCTAGGGCTAGTCATATGATTAGAGTCCGCACACTTAACCCCTACATCAAACTGCCTCTCCAGTTTGAGAGAGAGAAGAGGAAAACGATGTAAGCAACGTTGGGCTCCCTGATGGGGAGAAAAATGGGGTCTAAATAAGCACTTAAAAAAAAAAGTTTTAAACGGCATGTTCAATCTGTAATCTGACAGAGTTCCATCCACTTTACCACCTCCAAAGCCATGGCATGACTGAGTTAGTTAACATTTCCTGAAAAATGAAACCCCAGATTCTGAGGCTGCGCCGACGTATCCACCACATCCAGAACAGTCTAGGAGAAGGGTTTCCTTCTGTTCGTGGAAGGCCTTTTTAGTACATACTGTAAAAAAAAAATAGCATAGGATAAAAATTGTATAAGATGCCATCTGTGTAACACTTCACAAATGCCTCCTTTGTTCTTGGCTGAGATTAACGTCATTGGGGGTTTGTTCCAGACAGTAGACCATTGTCCCGGGCCTGTCCATCCACCGGTGCCTGCTTCCCAAGCTGTCCGTGATCCATCTCTGTCACCTCAGGATAACGAAGTAAGTACATAAGTCAGCACGGACTGATTGAAATCAAGGTGATTTAATTTTTGGAGAAACGGTGGCTCAGTGGTAGAACATTTCCTTTGCACGTGGAAGGCCCCAGGTCCAGTCTGGTGTAGTGGTTAAGTGTGCGGACTCTAATCTGGGAGAACCGGGTTTGATTCCCCACACTCCTCCACTTGCACCTGCTGATGTGGCCTTGGGTCAGTCACAAGCTCTGGCACAGCTGTCCTTGGAAAAGAGCAGTCTGTGTCAGAGTTCTCTCAGCCCCACCCACCTCACAGGGAGTCTGTTGTGGGGAGGGGAAAGGAAAGGAGTTTGTAAGCCGCTCTGAGACTCCAAGTGAAGGGCGGGGTATAAATCCAATCTCTTCTTCTTCTTTGTGAAGTTTGCCCCCCACAATGCATAGGTGGTGTGGAAGACCTTAACCTGAGACCTCTGCCAGTCATGCACTCACTGTATGGCTGGATCGTTGTGGGAATAAAACAGAGGAGGGGAGAGCTTTGTGTGCCACCTTGAGCTCCTTGGAAGAGAGGCAGCACAAAAATTACAATCCCTTCCCCTTCTCACAACAGGCACCCTGTGAGGTAGGTGGGGGCTGAGAGAGCTCTCTGGAGAACTGTCCTTGAGAGAACAGCTCTGAGAGAACTTGTGACTGACCCAAGGTCACCCCAGCAGCTGCATGTGGAGGAGTGGGGAAATCAAACCCTGTGCTCTTAAGACCACTACGCCAAACTGGCTCTCAGGAAAAGAGCAAGAGTCCAGACCTTCCAGACTAGCAAAATTGGTGGCCAGGGAGGAGCTTTCATGATCTGAAGAAGTGAGCAGTGACTCACGAAAGCTCCTCCCCTGCCACAAATTTTGTTGGTCTTGAAGGGGCTACTGGACTCTTGCTCTTTTCCATGCTGCTTCAGCTAGATCTGAGTCCAGTCGCACCCTAGAGACCAATAAGATTTTTGGGATATAAACTTTTGAGAGTCAGATACACTCTGAAACAACTCCACTTCAGACAGTGGGTTGAGGGCCACCATTTTGGGATAAAGTTTTAGTCCGGGGGCACCTTTAAGACCAACCACATTTTATTCAAAGCGTACGCTTTCGTGTTTCATGCTGTAATTCATGTTTTAATGTAATTTATTTATTCTGTGTAATTTACATGTTTTTATGTAAGCCGCCCTGAACCAGCTTCGGCTGGGAGGGCGGGGTAGAAATCCAAGAAAGAAAGAAAGAAAGAAAGAAAGAAAAGTTTCCCAGACTTTGTTCTGCTCCTTCAGACCAACATGGCTACCCACCTTAATTTTTCACCATTTTGGAATATTTGCTATGTTTAAAAAAAAAAAAAGAATTAGAAAACCAACACAGCAAACAAAGAGACCGGGCAGGAGACGGTTCAGCCACTCTGCCAGCTGTGCTGGTTTTCTGCTTGCGTGGAGGAGAAACTTCCAAAGCTGGAATTCCACCCACCCACAGTCGGAAGTGCATTCGGCCTCCTCCCTCCTCTTGCACAAACTAGAACCAAGTGCAGATCCAGATTTAGTTAACGTTTTCTCTCTCCCTCCCCCCCACTTGTCGCAGGAGAAGCTGACTGGCTTGCCCGAAAGGAGAGGCGAAGAGCCTGAAGCGGAGGAAGAGAGCAGCAGCGAGGAATTACTGATAGACGAGAAAGAGGAGGAACACAGAAATGACAACGAGGCTTTGGTGGGTTCCTCAGAGAGCTTTGGAACAGCGGCCAGATTTCGTTGACCCCACCCTCCCATCCCTGCTTGTGTCCTACCGTTCCTCCAAAGGAGTTCAGGGTGGTGTGGGGTGTCCCACGCACGTGATACTGCCTTCCTCACATTGTATTCTCCCCACAGCCCTATGAAGTAGGTCATCTGTCTGGCCTGAGGTCACCCAGTGAACTGCTTAGATGAGTGGGGAT